GGAGTTTGGGTAGAGCTCAATGGAGAGGTAGGTATTATTGGCACATGGAAGGGACGGTAACCGGTAACTGGAGTGGAATGTCAGAAGGATGAAGAAACGAAGGCTTGGACACACGGAAGGACTCCATCAAGGTTACGCAGCTAGACGGTGACAGAGCTGGGCTTTGACACAGATCTTCTGGCTTTCATTTGGATAAACAGACACTTTTCACCCACTGATGTCCTGCCCTGTAGCTCTGGAGGGACCATACCCCGGGAAAACATATGAAGGCTTAATTCCTACCTCTGCGTGGAAGCTAAAGCGAAAAAAAAACAGCCTTGTTCCTGCCGTGCCGAGGCGGCACAGAAACACAAAAACTGCCGGGACTCTGAGAGCCTCTGAAAACAGAATGCAAACCACAGAGCCCAGCCTATCACAAGTTCAACAAAGTTTTTCCATGCTGAACTCTGAACTTTGAGAAGTCTGGAATCTTTAGCAATTGCTTATTGCCTGCAGGATAGATGCAGTTAGTCCCGTGCCTTCTGGGCATGCCCTTAGCTGCAATCCTCACTGAAGCTTCTATGCTGCTGCTTTCAAAACTGCTCAAATTCCTTCACTCAAGTGTTCTTAGCACTTATGTTGATAGGGAATACTTCAAAGGGTACATCTTTACTTTATCAAATCTGATCTAATTTTGCAGATGGAATCAAAGCGGTTCATTTTGAGTCTAGTCGACTTTGCCAACCATCCCAGAGAGGAGGCGTCAATGCCTTGCCCTCTGCGTAATTAACCTAAACTACGAGGCCCCCGAAGACACCCGGGTCTTTGGCCATCCAGACCCAGAAATCCCTGGGAGGAGGCAGGGGCCTTCCTCTGAGTGAGGGGGCCACGGGGCAGGGAAGGACAGCTCTCCAACATCCTGGGACCCATAGCTGGCCCTTCTCCATGGCAATCAAAGAGAGCATGGGCGTTGCGGGGGAGTTCTATGCAGAGAGAAAATATAATGAGCTTCAGTGTGCCTGGCGGTCTTTAGAGTTGCCGTGTGGGGTAGGGGAGCCCCGGACGCGGGCAGCCAAGGCCCGGAGTATTAACCTTCACCCTCAGCGGCAGGAACAATTCTCTTCTCCCAACCTGGCACTTTTTATAAAATCCAAAACTTGATGTCGCTGCTAATTTGCCCCTGATACCTGTGTTTGAAGCTGGATCCAGGCATAGATTCAGCTGCCTAGCCAGACGGTAATTTCCAACTGAGCTATTATAATTGTCACAGTAAAATGTCTGTCTGCATACAACACCCCAGGTTGGGGGAAGGAGGGGGTAAAGTCATTGATTTTGGTGCTCAGAAAAGTTCTCTGTGGCTCAGAAGAGACGGTTCTGGCTGGTTTTGCTTTATTTGGATAAATACTTTAGCCATTTTGCATTGAAATTGAACACGAAAGCAAAAGGGGGTTCGGTTTGCAACGTCCTAAACTCTGGGGTCCTCCTTTTTAAAAAGCTCTTTCGAAACTCCCACACACAACCTGTCCCCCTACCTCCTTGGCTTGGGACATTGGAGGGAGTCACGCTCATCTACCAGCCCTCATCATGGACCCTTTGTGTCAGGCCCATGCAGATTAGCCATGAGAAGGCTCCAAGGTCAGGGCGTTTGTTCACAAATTCTGATCATCATGTGGGTGGGCATCACTCTCCCTTTCCCACACAGGAGAAGACCTGGCCAGGCTGGGGAGGTCGAGGACTCGCCGGAGCCCTCAGGGTTAAGAGCTCACCCAGCTGACTCCCCTCTAAACGCTTCTCTACCCAGAAGTGACCCTCTGGAAACAGATCGATAGAGACAGAATCCTAAACTTGGCTTTGACGGCTCTATGACTTGCCCCAACTCCTTCCCCAGCCTTCTCTCTGGTTGGGACTGGCTTCATGGGCATGTCATGTCTGCAGCCACATAGGGCCCCACATACAATAGCAGGTACCTCTTCTCACTACCCTGAAATTCTTAACAATTTGTGATAAGGGACCCACATTTTCATTTGGCCCTGGGCCCTGCAAATTATGTACCCGGTTCTGCCTTCCACCATGCTCTACGCACCTGTTCACGCTTCCTCCTGCCAGGCGCCTCCATACTTAGATTCCCTCTGCATGGAATGTCCTTACACACCCCATCCCCACCGTCGACACCACCAGCTACTTACCTCACTCCTACCCACCCCTTAGATCTCAGATGAATTGTCACTTCCTCCAGGAAGTCCTCCCTGCCTTACCCAACTGGGTCAAGACTCCTATTACAGGTTCGTAGAGCCCCATGCTCCTTTCCTCCATAAATTCTTTCTATAGTTGCAATTCCACGTTTATCATATATTGGCACACATTTGATTGCAGTCTACCTTTCTGGAATATCAGAGACCAGAAACCACATCTGATTTTTTGCTCACCGACGTAGCCTCAGTGCCCAACACAACACTAGACACGTAATAAATATTCCACAAATGTGGGTTGAACTCATGACATCGTGTAAAAAGAGAACGCGATAGAGGCAGCTTGAGCAGTCAGATTGCCTGGCTTCCCAGCTACTGGTGCCTCTGGCTGTGTGATCTCAGGTGAATTCCCTGACCTCTCCGCACTTCATTCCTCTCATCAGGGAAAAGGAGATAAAATGAGTAATTTACAGGACGGTCGCGACCTTTAGATGCAATGATGTGCATGGAGGGGTTGGGACACACCTGACAGTCAGCACCCCAACGGTCCAGCACTGTGACTGCAGGACGGCTGGTGTGTAATGCACGTGGGCGTTCAGCGTTTCACACGTCCTTGGAACAACCCTCTGTGGCAGGAACTGGTGTGTCCGGGGCGGCACAGCTGGGAAGTGTCCGAGCAGGACAGAAATCCAGTGCAGCCCATCCCCTTGGCCTGTGGCTGTGCCAAGATGTAATAGTTCAGAAAGGATCACAGATTGGTCCCCGGGGAGTGGCAAAACCCCGGGTTTCGGGTCTCCTTCCATTCCTCCCTGTAGATGTGATCTTGAACACTTTTCTTAGCCTTCTTAGGTCTCAGTTTCCTCGTCTATAAAACAGGGATAACGAGAGATGTGTTTCAGAGGGTTGCTATATGAAGTGAGACGAACTGCGCGAAGCGTGTGGACGCAGGGCGTGGTTTGCAGCCAGCGTTCTGCACAGCTTAGCTCTCACCTACCACTGGCCCCGCCTCCTGGAGTGGCTGTCGTTCAGGGGAAGGAGCATAGCACAGTCTCACGTCTTCGTGCTGCCCTGCTCCCGTGTTTGCAGCCAGCGACGTTTCTGGAGAGGATTCGGATCGCTTGCACAAGGGAGGGCAACTGTGTCTAGAATCCCTTCAACCTCTGGCATCCCCTAGGTGCGCCGTGGTAGCAGGGGCACGATGCCTCTGCTCTCCAGAGCAAGGGACACTATTCCCCAGCGTGGAGGGCTTTCCCAAGACCAGGGGCCTGGGCCCAGACCTCCACTTGCTCCTGCTCTCCACCTACCCCCCCGCTGGGGAAGACAAAGGCCTGGACAGCAAGTGGCTAAGCCTAGCAGGTGCCATCTTGTCTCCACCCATCAGCACAGGGCACGACCTCAAGCAGCCAGAATGACTAGAATGTGCTTATCTGGGACGAGACGAAAATAAGCTGAGGCTTCAAGGAAAGGAGAGATCCCACTGAGCTCCATCCAGTCCACTGCAGACTCCTCAGAACACCGGAAAAGCACTTTCCACCCACTGAGGATGTGAACCCCGAGGTTGTGCCTTCCTTCCTCTGCTGCGAATGAGTTCAGGCAGAAGGTAAGGGGAAGTCAGGTGCAGCTGGAGGGGTGGGCCCAAGGGGCCTGGGCGGCCATGCGCTTGTCACGTCCCCCCATAAGCCGGGGGCCCCAAAGGGATGCCTTGGAGAGGCTGATGGGGGCGCAGAGAGAGGTCGAGAAGGTGAGCGACATGGTCCCTCCACCACTTCAATCAGAAAACTACACGTTTGTTGGTAAATGTACACAACAGAAAGCTGAAACCTGTGCAAGGGCCGAGACTTCCCGACACAGCTGGTTAGCAGCCAAGGACAGGCTGGAAGTCCAGCCAGCCCGCGGGCCCTCACGCTCTACCCCAGCTCTGGGGCTGGCAAGTGCTGGATCTAGAAGCTGGGGTTGGCGCACGAAAGCAATTTTTGGAGAAGTGAGAAATCGCTGAGCCAGAGGAGCCTTGAGAAAAGGTTTCCCTTTTCTGTTGTAGGAAAGGTAAGGCCAAAGCCAGCTGCGGGGCCCCTCCCCATGCCCCTCCCGCTCCTATAGCGAGGCGGCCTTACCGGGCCCTCTGCAGGAAAGTGGGGCCGCTCCCACTCCTGGAGAACTCCCCGTAGGGTCCCTCTCACCAGGAGCCTCCTGGGCCGGCCTGGCACCGGCTGTCAGCATGGGGAGCATGTCTGTGGGTAGTTGTTAGCTCCAGAGAGCCAAAACAAGGCAGTCTCGGCTTTGGGTGGATACTGTTGGGTGCTCATCCCTAAATTCTTTTGAGTCTGGCCTCATGGCTTCAGAGCCGCAGGCTAATGAACTGGCCCTGAAGATGTTACCAACTAAAAGAACATGTCCTGGCAGAGGGCCCTGGAACCTGTTAAGTTGGGTCATGAAATCCAAAACCCTTGGAGCAGGAAGAGACATCCAAAGTTATCTAGACTGACTTTACTCCACAGATGAGGGTGCTGCAGCTCAGCAAGAAAAGGTCTCTTGCTCAAGTTAAGAACAAGTGAAAATATGTAACAACAGATCTGTGCCTCTGGGGTAGAAGAGAGGAACAGTTGTGTCTCATCTCTCCCCAAAATGTAACTGCGTCAACCCAAACCAAATGCACCCTCTTCCTTGACCTACGGGGCCTTCTCTACTTGGTCTCCCACCTCCCCGATGCTCCGAATCTCATTCTAAAAATTCTTGTCCCGTTGATAAGAAGGCCTAGCTTCTGGATGAGTCATGATATCCACCCACCTACCACCCCAAGTGACTGTGCCATACAGGAGACATTTTCAGGAATCATTGGTCCATAATGGAAGTTAACCCACTGAGCTGAAGTCGATGAAGTCAGAGCCTTGACACTGAGCCAACCCATATCTCATAGCCTGGGAGGGACTCCACTCAGCTTTGTCTTATCCAACCTCTCTTCCCAAGGCAGTGGATCAAATTGACGAGAACCCACCTGGAGAAAGTGGGTCACGTGAACATCACTGGAAAGGGTTTTCCATTTCATTGGGGCAACGTCAAAGTCAGGAAACTGCTACCTTCCTCAGCTCTGAGGAGTTCACCAGGAATGGGTCCCATTTCCCAAATCACAGAGCAGATAGAAAACCAACGCGCAGGTAAGGAATACTCGCCCTGGTCAATGGAAATAGGAAAATGGTGATGAAGACAAATCACTTTCCTATCTTGATGGGTGAGGCTCGTGGCCCGTTAGTCTCCCTTGCTCTCCTCACCTCCATCCATTTTGTCCCAATCCTTTAAATTTTCCAAATTTTACCTTCATTTAGTCATCCCTTAAAAAAGAAAAAAAAAAAAAAAAAAAAAGTCAAGGTCAAGATGTTGACCAAACCTTCATCACCGCTCGACACATTCTCTCTTCTCCCCGCTCGCACTCCCCCCCCAGCCAGCCTCTCCTCCAAAATGAGCCCACGATGAAAGTACAGCAGACTCCGTGCATTTTAAAGAGCTAGCCTATTTTCAACTATAAAATAATATGTGGCATAGAAAACAGCATGTAGGATGAAGAAAGATCCTGTTTAGTTTCAGTGTGACATTTGCCTGGGGGAAGAAGCGCAGAGCTCATTGGCGAGCCGATTGTTGAAGCCCTGACCAGTCAGTTACAAAGTGTCATCATTTAATATGCCAGGCAGCTCTGCCTTTTCGAGGCCAATCACTCCTTTTGTGCTGGGGACAGAGAGGGGGTGGGGTGCAGAGGAGAAATTGAGCGGAGCGGGGGGTGGGAACCTTAGAATGGAGGAGGTAAGGGGCACACGTCAGCGGAGGCTTACAGAGGGCCTCAATGCTCCGTCCCCCTCCCACGTCCACGTGAGCCTCACTGGTGCCCACTGGGGCCAGCACCCAGTGGCTCTTGGTCATGATAGCTGGCCAGGTGAGGCACCTGTAAATTAAGGACCCCAGACCTGCCCGGGCCGCAGACATGGGTATAGAGCGGGTCCAGAAGCCACAGAACTTACATATGTCCCTAGAGCTGGGGTCATCGTCTGGGTCCCAGGCACTAGCTTCTAAAGTTATGGGCCAAAAGGTCAGCAGATCTGAAGCTGTTACCACCTCCTGCAAGCTCAACACATTTCTGTGTTTAGACGTCAGTGCGAGATCCTGACTCCCTTTCATGACTCCGAGCTTTGTATCCACCCAACATACCATTAACAGGGTTCAGCCAAGGCAGGGCTTTTGACTCTCTCCCTCCCCCGCCCCAACCACGGCCCCCTCTCCCAGTCTGTCAGCCTTTTCTTCATCAACTATATTTGTTACAATCAAGTTCTGTCAACTGTCACAGCTTACACACAGACTGCCAGTAAATATGTCTTTCCACTCATTAGACATTCCTCCCAGTCACCTTGGGATTTCTACCTTGTCTATCTCACTCCAAAAAACTTTTGTTCAGAAGTATGAGACACCCACTGAGCAATGTCAGCTTGCGGCCATTACCTCAGGAAGTGACAGAAAACACCCAACTGTCACTCATTAAGATCCATTTTTTCCAGAGTTGATGTAAGTCAGACTTTGCCCCCAAAACGAATCATGATTTATTTAATATATTTGCTTCTACAAGTGTCAGCTCATCAGCTTAAAATGTTCCTCCTTTAACTCTATTGAGGACTGTACAGAAAGTTTTCTTTGAAACCTCGTTTTTGCTTTAAGGCTTAATAATTAAAACAGAACCAAGAACAGTCAAGACTCTGCTCTATAGGTGCACTTTGGTGGCCCCTGGTTTTATAATTATATGTACAAAGCAGTCGTGTTGGAATTATCGCTGGACACGCTGCGAAAATTGCCTCCCACTGAGCAAGCTGGCTTTTTCTGCCGGGCGCACCAGGCTGGGGCAAGATGAAATGAAAACCAGGGATGGTTTGAAAGCAGGGACAAAAATAACAATTAGGGAAGCGAGGAGGAGAAAAATGCAGTTTCTTAATTGCTCGGCCTAGGTGCCAGCGGGCAGCTCCCCACCACTCCGCAGGAGCGCGGGAACCCAGAAGGACCCGCTGCTGTCCAGGGGCCGAGGGGAGGCGGGCAAAGGTGCATCGGCCACAGCTTTGGGGGAAAGATGCCTGAGGCCTTGCTTTGACCTGGATTTCAGGAGAGATCAAAGCCTGCGCCAAAGAGGAAGGTGATTTGACGGGCTGATGACTTCCTATGGGGACCTCCAGCCCAAGGTCATTTCCAGCCATGCTCCCCTCTGCTTCAGATTTACTCTGGTCGGTCTGTTCTCCTGGGAGAACAGAAGGTCGAGCACCTTGGGAGGCGCCACTTGAAAAGTGAGAGCAATGCCCAGAAACTTGGCATCTTCCTCACCCTGACAGCAGGACTCCAGATAATTCTCACCCAGTACTGAGGCTTGCTTCCCTCCATGCCAGGGCCCAGGGACGCAGAGCGAGATCCATCCTGGGGGTCAGCCCCACCGAAAGAACTTAGCTCCCAGACCCATGTATGCAGCCCCATAAGGGTTGGTGTCATACCACAGGAACAGCAGGGAAGAGTCAAAAAGAAAGAAAATCCACGAGAGTTGCCCAAGAGGAGATCAGTGGTCTGGGGAGAAAGTGAGGCTCCTGTCGTGAAACCTGTTTACTACGCTCAACAGTCACTTGTCAGAGTGTGGCATGGGAGAGCCACGCCTCCCTCAGGCATCTGGTCTCCAAGACATTCAAAGCCCCTCAAAGTTGAAGAGCTTAAGATTCCAAGGGTACGATATCTGGTCAGGTGTTACTTTTGTTTGTTTCTGTATTACCAGGACAGAGCGGGCCTCCACCCTCAAAACTCCCCCCCACTACCCAGCTGAGGGCTCAGATTTGGCCCCCCCACCGCCACCTGTGGGTTCACTGGTAGACACGCGTGCCCTCGGGCAGCAGGGGGAGCTGGGTGTCTGAAGGAAGAATCCAGAAGCAGGCCATGGAAAAAAAGCACCCAGGAGATGGAGGGGGCCACCACTCTGGTCCAGATAACTCACTTCCAGCTTAAATCACTACCCTGGTTTTCCTGCTTCCACGGATCCATTCTCCAACAGAAACAGCCATGATCTTAAAATGCAGAGTTGGTCACAAAATCTCCCAACTGCCCTCACAAATCCCTCTCGTTTAAAACCTAACGGTGGCTTCCCATTGCTGGTAGGATAGAAGTCAGACTTCATAAGAGAGAGAGCAAGGCCCTGCTGAGTCCGTTCCACACCTTGCTGGCCTCACCCTAATCCTGGCCCTGCCTGCCTTATCCCACGATCGAAGTATCTCTGGGGCTTTGTGCCAGGCTTGGGTCACCAGAGACAAGGAAGACAAGACCAGCGCTGAGCCAGGTGTGGCTGGAGGTAAGGAACGACACACAGCCGCCCAGGAGATGGGGAGGAAGAAGGGGAAGAAAAGGGAAGAATGGTGGCAGAGCTGGCATTGTGACGCAGCACCCAGAGTTTCCGATGGGGTTCCCCGACAGGGTTTCCAACGGGGTTCCTAGGGGGAGTCTGATTCACTGAGCCCAGGTCACACGTCCCAGCCTTAGCTGCCGAGAGGGCCAGAGGAGTGAGCACGGTCCCGTCTCACATCTACTCCCCTCCAAGACTCATAGGGCAAAGAGTTCCCCAAATAGAAGACGGAGTTTGGGATGCTGGCCTCCAATGAAAGAAAATGTCTTCTCTCAACTCAGCGCATTGCCAAAGTACGGCTTTCCCAGGGAAATTGGCAGAAGTCCTCCGATGAGCCTCACGGGGGCGGGGGGACATTTTCCATCTCTCTAGCTCCCCAAATACTAGGAACAGGGCCATCCACCCCCAAGCACCAACCACATCCCTACCCTGCTCCTCGACCTGGCATGACAGGGAAACTCTGAGAGAGAAAAAAATAACCCCACATTGAAAGTCAGCCGGCAAATGGAACCCTTTCATGTTGGCCAGGATCCAGAGCTTGGAAGGTAAGATCAGATATGGAAGCGTTTGATGAGGTTAAGTCCATTTCCAACCCTTCATTCTGGCGTTTAAAGCCATCATCTGTTTTAAGAAGTGAAGAGCTTTAATGTGCAGGGGGTTACAGAGGAACCGGGCTCCTGCTTCGCGTAGAGCACCAGGAGGCAGGGGCTGTGGAAAGTTGTGGAACCTTTTTTCCTGCAACCCCATAAGGGAGCGAAGCCCCTACCTGCTGATCTCTAAAAATGGCTGCTAATGACATACAGCTATGCTGAAACAGGGACCCGTGTTCATTATAAATCAGGGTGGAAGATGTTCGAGATTGATGTGTCGCCTTGGAGGCACTAAGCCCAAGGAGGATCCCTTCCCCAACAGGAAGAAAAGGAAGTAGATGTGTTTTCTTCCTCTATTGGAGGGTTTGTCCCAGAGCCCCACTAAAATCTTGTTTCTTCCACAAAGCCGTCACTGATGAGTAAGCCCTTACTCCTGAACCCCTAGAGCATCTGTGGTCTAGGCCACTTGTTTCACATAATATAAGATCCTTCATTCTCTTATTCATTCATGCACCAACCCCCCCATTAAACCAACACTACGGGCTACTCAGAAGGTTTGAGGTAGAAGGCAGTTTGAAGATCTTCTCTTAATAGACAGAGAAACTGAGACAACACTGGACGTGGGGTTCACGGTAGGCATGGGGAATGACTGACTTGCCCAAGGTCACACCTGTCTTAGTGGGGGCTCTGGGCTCTGAGAGCTCCTAACAAACTAGTCCCTGTTGATGGTTTAATGTCCTCCACCCAGGCTGTATTCTTTCAAAACCAGCTATCGCCAAGCACTTCAATCTACTGAGAGGTCTCTCCACCCCATCAGACTATTAGCTCCTAGATCAGTGATTCTCAACCCTGGATGATATTGGAATCAATAAGGAGAGCTTTAAAAATAGTGATGCCTGGGCACTACCCCAGAGATTCTGATTTAATTAAGATTATAGGACGTGGCCTAGGCTTTGGGATTTTTTTACCACCACCTCTACTGCCCCCGGGTGATTCTAATGAGCATTAAAAGTTGAGAAGCACCATTCTACAACACTGTTTCTCAAAATTAGTGAGCATATGCATCACATAGTGGTGATCTGGCTAAATCGGAAATTTCAATTCATTAAGTCTCTGCTAAGGCCCAAGGTTCTGTGTTTCTAACAAGCTCCCAGATAATACAAATGCTACTGGTCTGTGAACCATACTTCGGGTAGGAAGGCTCTAAAACAGGGTTTCCCTTGGGGCCCCTGGGTGGCTCAGTCGGTCAAGCGTCCGACTTCGGCTCAGGTCGTGATCTTGCGGTTCATGAGTTTGAGCCCCGCATCGGGCTCTATGCGGACAGCTCAGAGCCTGG